TATTTCTGTGATGCGCAGCTGTATTTTCAGCATCAAAACTCCAGTCTTCAGTGTCACATGATCCTTCAGAAATCATTTTAAAATGCTGATTTATTATCAGTGCTGGAAACTGTTGTGCTGCTTAGTATTTTTTTGGAACCTGTCATACTTTTTTTCAGGATTCTTTGATGAATAAAAAGTTAAAAAGAAGAGCATTTATTTAAAATTGAAATCTTTTATATGAATTGTGCTATTCTATATGTAATTTCATTTTTTTAAATGGATTCTTTTCTTTAAATGCAAAACTTTTTAATAAGGGGAAATTACTATCTGTACCTGTACTTCCATTTTAAGATTAGAGTAGTTAGATTTGCATGTATATAATATCTTATTGCTCATCTTTTTGTTTAGAGGTACTTCAACAGGCCGCTTCAACATGCAATGTTGCAGAAACTAAAATACAAAAATAGGTAAATAGTGTGCACATTCTACCATTGATAAGTGACATCTGTGCTTCCCCGCACTTGAAAAGCACCGGCATGTTGAATACTAAAAAACCCTGCTGCCTACCATCCTGAGGACGTCAAGGATATTTAAAGGCCATTGCAATATTGGAATGGAAACAAACGGATGGCGAATGCTTGACAGAAGAAAGACAAACAGGATTGCGTCTCTCTCAAAATCACCTCAGGGGAAGATGAAGAGCTCAGGGAGGAGGAGGAGGGGGGGGACTCAGTGAGACTCACCACAAATCCAGGCCGACAGAAGCAGGTGTAGCCATGTCCAGGCTCATTCTGGATGCACATTCCCTGGTTGCATGGTTGCAGCAAGCACTCATTAATGTCATATTCACAGTGAAGGCCTGTCCAACCTGCCAGGAACAAAAACCCAAAGTGCCACAGTGAGCCCACCCCGTAACCAACAACATCCCACCTCTCCCTGCCCTCCCCTGTCTCATACGTTTTCTACACCATCTCCATTCCTGCTTCGTCTTCCCATTCTGGAAAGCATCCACACTCGCACACATACGGGCTGAATATATTTTAATACTCTATGAGGCTTGTGTCTGTTTCATTAGCCTGCAAGAGTAAATTATTCCCCGGAGGAACCTAAGTGATTTTTGCATAGTGGAATCAAGATGCATGAAGCCGAGACTTTTCATAAACCTTTATCTCTCTTGCGTTCTTCAGACATAAGACTGTCAAGAAGGTAAAAAAAAAAAAAACATTGACAGAAGATATTCATAAACATGTACTGCATTTCCTAAACAGGGTTACCACCCTGAACCTCCAAGACACTTTCATGACTGTCCCAATCATTCATGATAACTGGATAGGGATCAGTTTTTTTTATTAATCTGTCTGCAATAACAAAGAAGACCAGATGAAAATGTGCAATAAAGCAATTTTAATTAAACCATACTGTTAATAAAACTATGAGGAGAAATTTGCACCAATTAGGAATATACACATCATTAAAAAAAAACTGGGTCCAAAAAAATTAACTTTTTAAAATTTAAATACATTTTGTAATTTATTCTTGTGATGGCAAAGCTGAATTTTCAACATCATTACTCCAGTCTTCAGTGTCACATGATCCTTCAGAAATCAATCTAATATGCTGATTTGCTGCTCAAGTAACAGAAATGTATTCTGATCATAAATGCTGAAAATTTAAATGTAAATGTAAATGTAAAATGGTTGTGCTGCTTAATATTTTTGGGGAAACTGTGATACATATTTTCAGGATTCTTTGATGAACAGAAATTATTTAAGGATCAATTTAAGGTGCTAAGTAAATAAGTTTAAATTTTTTAAAACAAACAAACAAAACAATTTTACTGATCCCAAACTTTTGAATAGTATGTTTTTTTTTTTTTCAAATCCAATCAATCAAAATAACATGAATGTACAAGTTAAATGCTAGTCAGAATGTGTATATAATGTAAAACGTGTAAAAAATAACGAATAACTAAAGCTGACGTTTTTAAATTAACACTTTTAATATTTGCTCAAATTAACTGTTTTCAATTAGATTTCCCAAACACTTTCCATCTGCCATTGGTCAGGACAGACAGATAGTTCTGCTCTCAAACTCACACCATTGGCTGAGTCAGTGTTGCTTTGTCAGGTTGTTCGGCATACACAAACAGCATCGTTTTGATAGTTTGCAATGTTTGCATTGTCTCTGCATATTAAACTAGGAAGAAAGTATTTCAACATGGAGAAAATGCACATCATCAAGATGTTACTTACTGTCATTTACTGTGTTTCACGTTTGCAGTTAGTTCAGAATCCAGTGGCTCAGCTTCTTTATGGAAAGTGCAAATATGAGAGTATCACACCAGTCTTGATTTCACTACATTGGCTGCCGGTCAAATATAGAATTGATTTTAAAAGGTGATTGTGCTTTTTCTGTTATCGGCCCTAAACTATGGAATAGTCTCCCATTTCAGATCAGAACTGCCAAACCTTATCTATTTTTAAGTTCACTCTCAAGACTTTAATAATATTTATTGATTTGTTGTTTTATGATTTTACTTTAATGAATATCACCCATTTTACAGCTTGTGTTTTGTAATCTTGTATTCTGTGTTCTTAACATTTTATTCTGTATATTTTTTGTACAGCACTTTGGTCAACTTCAGTTGTTTTTTAAATTGTGCTATATAAATAAACATTGTATTGTATTAACCCTGTCTATAAAGCACAAATGCCATATTGAGTGAAAGCCTAATACAGTACATACAATATAATGCCAATAAGAGGTAAACCACTTTTGCATGGCATATATATATATATATATATATATATATATATATATATATTGTATATTTTCTATAAAATAGAAAATAGCCTCACCTGGTCGACAATGACATTGGTAGCCATTGATGAGGTCTTGGCAGATGGCCCCATGAAAGCAGGGCTCAGAGCAGCATTCATTGATCTCTACCTCACAGAAATCTCCAACAAAACCTGGCAGGCAGCTGAATAAAAACATTCCTCTTTTAAACATGGCACATAGAATCAGATGTTTTTATTCTCTAAAAAGCATGTCTCTTTAAAAGGTTGAACAGAATGCTACGACTTTCTGAGCCACAGCCTTGAGCCCATCAAAAAAGCAAATATTCAAAAGGAAAAAAATATAATTAATGACAGACATATGGTCAGCTAAGCTCGTGAAAGCCCTGCCACACAGATGGTGAGCAAACTGAGAAATGTCTCATTAACAGAGTTTGTTGGCATGTAGCAAAATTTCTTAATATCTCCTGGAATTTTTAAAGATTGGTTCAATTATCTGCACCTTTAAAAGTCAAGTTCTGGAAAATGACACTCAGTTGACATATGGTGATTTCTGTCAGGACCACTATCATCAAAGATGATTGACAATTAGCATACAGTTTGGATTGGCGGTATGGTTCTGTTCTGGGCAAGAACTCCCTGCGCATCCATGCAGCCTAGCATGGATGAGAGCAGGGAGAGCAGCGAGAACCCCCCCCAGGGTAAACAGAATAGATGTTGCCACAGTTCTTCTGGATTTAGTCTGTCTCAGTTTTTTCTGTTTCTTCAAGTAATTCCAGATGGACTGAATGATGGTGAGATCAGATCTCTGTGTGGAGCACTGGCTGCTGTCAGACTCCTTGTGCATACAAAAATCTTACTGGATTATTACAATGAATGGCAAAAGGAATGTTTGGAAATGTAAACTGATATTTCCTACTGACCCACTAAAGCAAAAGATAGAAATAACTGGCTTAAAACCATTTTTTGTTGGTGAAAATACTAATGGCCTAAAAATGTTGCACAGCACTGTATATTCTGATTTACTTACATATATTCAGACTTATAACTTTATATTCTGATTTATAAATATATTTTCTGATTTACTTATATATATTCAGATTTAATATAATTATTTCCTGTTTGGCGCTTACACACACACACACACACACACACACACATATATATATATATATATATTTTGTTTAAAAAATATATTTTGTTTAAAAAAAAAAAGAAAGGACAAAGAAAAAAAAAAAAGACACCAAAACAATGTTTTTATATTACATTTTTATATTCAATAAACCAGGCAATTTTTAGTTTCCAGGCAATTTTTTTATATATATGAAAAGATATTTAGATTATGTATTATTTTTCATTTTGTATGCATACTAGTGCCTGCATTTAATAGGCATTTAAACGAAATCAGATTTTTCAGGACTTTGACAGCTCCAGGAAACTTCCACCTAAACCAATCTTTGCAAAAAGATTTGTACCAAGATTCTCAATTATGGTATGAAAGACATTAGAGAATGATTTGATATACTATTTTATTTTACACAGTGTGTGTGTAAACATGGCTAAAAAGGTCTTTCCTATTGTAATCAATGTATCTATTCATTGTCTCTAATTTGCATACTGTATTAATGTGTTCTTTGGGCAACATGTAATAAAAAATAATTTTAATTTAATATCTGATATTTAATAGAAATATTAATGTATAATTTCGTTCCCTATTCACTTATTATGTCTCCCTAAAATCCCTGATGAGCATGCAGTAAGTCCTGGTGTCCACTACAGTGGACATGTATAAAATTGATGCATGACTGACAACAGAAAGTCATATTCTGCTTTGAAACCCCACTAAAGTGGTCGGTTATTAGGTTTCATTTATGACAATCATTTTATTTTAATACAAATTTATTTATTTATATATAAATATATATTAATATATATATATTTAAAATTTTATATATATGCAGAGGCATTTTTTTCTTTCTTTTTGTGGCAGCTTTAATGGCTTTCATATCAGCCTTCAATCTGTTCTGAATCTTTAACATTACGCAAAATGACGGAGGCTGATTTAAAATTGAGCTCCAATTTTTGGTCTACACAGTACACAATACAATCGGTCTGCGAGTCATTAGTCTGCAAGAGATTTCAAATGAGAGTAAACACAAAGTGGGACAGGGGCGTTTGTTTTCCATTTGAGAAAATCAATCCAATGAGGCCTCATTTGGACAGACAATGCTTTCTCATTCCACAGCTGTCTTTCTGTCAGTGCATCTGTCCACCTGACATGATGAGAATTGCAAATAGCATTATCGGCCAGGCTAATCAGAGACTCAAGACAGGGGGCTTATTCACATTAGAATATTGTCTTAGGAGGAAGAGATAATGAGATATATTATGTGTTGGATGGGCCCTTTTATGCAGAATGTGCACCACAACCAATTTTAGCCCTTTAGTTCAGCGATAATGTTGTAGCAGCTGCTGTGTAATCATCCACTCTGGCAGACCTTTAGAAAGAACCAAGAGAAACAGTGGAAATGCATCTGGATTGTACAGCAAGTTGTAACTAATTACAAGTTATATATTTAAAAAATAAAGTACATGTAAGTTTGTTTAGCCTGCTCTTACTTGTTAATGGTTTATTGTTTGTGAACAAATACACAAATATAATTTTTATTTTTTTATATTTGTGATTCTGTTTGTTTATAGTTACTGTTGAGAAGGGTTTCTGCAGGTTTGACTAAGGTAAATTTAAGACTTTTTAAAAACCTTTTAAAGACCAATAAATAAAACTTAAGGAATAAATTGTCTTTTGTTTTCTTAATTTAAATGTCTAAAAACTTGAATACATATGCTCCCTCCCTACCACTAGAATATGGAAAAAAACGTTACTTCTGATCACACTGCAAAAAATCGTAACAACTTAAAACTTAATTCAAACTTAATTTTTCATTCCCCATGTCCCCATTTTATGCCCCCAAAACCCCAAAAACAAAATACTGAGCTAGTAAATTTTTTTTTTGCAATGCATGCAGTATTTAATGCCATGACTTAATGAATTTAATTCTTTCTGCTCTGATTTAAGACTTTTAAGGCCTTAATTTGTGTTTCCCAAAAGCATTGTAAGCATAAGTAGATCAAAGAAACCATTGCCACCAATAGTCTCTACGATCAAGTTGCCTTTTCAATGCAGCCCTGGATAGGAAATGCTGTTCACAAGGCCCAATAAATTAGAATGAGAACTGGAACAAAATGGTTAAACATCATACACATAAACACCTAAAGATCCATCTAGAGTCTTGTTTTTACCTGCATGTGAAATTGGCCCCTGGTCCATCCACACATGTCCCTCCATTGAAACACAGGGAGAAATTATGAGACGTCTGCAGACACACATTCTGGTCAATCTCACAGTTCTTCCCAGTGAAACCTTCTGCACATATGCAGGCGTATTTGTCCAGAAGATCCACACAGGAGCCTCCATTAAGACAAGGATGAGTCTCACACTCCTAACATAAAAAGTAGAAATTAGGGACATTTACAATTAACCTTGCAAAATACAATCATATTAATATCTAGGTCATGAAACCATAATATTGCATAGTGAATACATGTGATGTATATCACAATATGTGAGATCATCAAAACACTTTGAAAGAATTTTAAATTTTCTCCATTCTGAATGGACGTCAGATTTAGTATCAAAATTAACCAATATCCCATGCATACTAATGATTTCTTTACACACAACCAATAATTAGAGTAAATTTCAAGGACTGGTAGTCAAATGTTTACTATATATTTTTACTGAATCACTTGTTTATTGCTTGATCGTACCATTTTCCTAGGGCACTAATACAGATTTTACTGCATGTGCACAGCTAAATTTAATTACATTTCTGTGATTTAAAGATGTTCATATAAAAAGGATATATGGTACATTAGTGGAGTTGATACTGTAAGTGAGTTTACAAACAGAATGGCAGATCTCGTCCTATAGTCATTACGGGAGCAAACAGCAGCTAATGATTTATTCCAAACAAGCCTCTGAAGTCCTCCAAGCAGCCAAGTGTTTCGTCTCAGGGGTACATTTAAGGCCGTGCTAGGTATTAAATAAATTAGTGATAGAAGCATTTTAATCAGACACTTGTGTTTAGATGATCCTGTGGTTGTTATTCAAAAGAATAATCCCCACCATCTAAACCATGCAGGAATATATACAGTACATATGTACAATATGATTTACTAAACTGGAGTATTTAAATTCCTGTTGTGGGAATTATGAGCAGCATAATATGGACAATGTAATAACTTTACACATAAAATATATATACAATCTATTCTCAAATAGCAAACAAACTTGCCATAGCATTGATAGAATTTCATAATATAATAACATGATTACTGTGCGTTAAATTAGTCTTTCGCCTTTCAGTTCTTGATTTCTCTCTCTTCTCAGGAGATTATGGTGCTCCATTTCCCTTTTTAAGCATCATAAAAGTCTAACATAACCCGACAATATGTCTGACCTTTCCATCCTATCATCTTTGTTGTCATTGGAAGTTTAGAATATGAAACTAGGCCAGATATTATATTTCAGGAGATCAGGTAGAATGACGCTTACTGTCTTTCACAGTCTCTTATGAAGTGCTTTTTGATTTCTAAGTAGTGTCATTTCTAACCAATTCACCTTCATTGTCGTAAGAGCCACTAACTACACTAGGGAGAAATTATTAGGTGATCTTCAATACAAAGAGAGTTTAATAGTTTATGCATGTCTGACAGTAAACTCATACAACAGTAAAACTTTCTCACTGCCCCATTTTGTCATATATTTTAATTCCTTCTACAAAATCTTGCACTGACAATGAAAAGCACTCATCTACAACTGGATATTGGACTAATATGTTTGGTCACACTACTACAACAAGATAACTCAAAATTGAGTTATTGAAATCTAGCTTTTCATGCTACGATTTAGCAAAACTATACTCCAATTCAGAGAAAACAGTGTGAAAACTGAAATCAAATAATTCAAAAACCTATGTTACTATGTTTTGCTTTTATAAGGCAGTGTAGAGCACAAACAGTGAAGATGCAATAGAGTCTTTATTTATCACCACGCAGGTCCAGATGGTGATGGCTTATGAACAGTGTTGGGGAGTAACTAGTTACATGTAACGGCGTTACGTAATTTAATTACAAAATAAATGTAACTGTAATCAGTTACAGTTACTAAGAAAAAATGTGTAATTAAATTACAGTTATTTATGAAAATGTTCACGATTACAAAGGGGATTACATTTGAATATTTACACACATCCACATACAGATTTAATTGATTTATTTCCCAAATTGCACTGACTACTCTGACATATGGCCCTATAATTTCCGCGATGCGGAAAACACAAGACTGGTTTGTAGAATCCAGTCATAAAAACGGGGGAGCTAGGGCAGACAACAACACAACCCTTACGAAAATTAACGATGATTTTACTATATATCCAAAGACAATGGTTACTATTGTTAAACCATCGTAACCACAAATAAACCATGTTTTTTGCTACACCAACCATAGTTTAACCATGGCATTTGTAGTAAAAATAAATACAAATGGTAATCCATTGGAAAAAAAAAAAACATGGTTACTGTACTTTTACTATAATAAAAGCATGGTTAATTTAAAAGTAATCAAAAGTAATCAGTTACATTACTTTAATAAAGTAATTGAAAAAGTTACGCTACTAATCTGTAACCTATTACATTTCCAAAGTAACCTTCCCAACACTGCTTATGGATTGCTCCTCACACTACACCAGCAACCTTTCAGATGAACCAGTTTGAAAATTGAAACAAGTACCAGCCTTGACATTACAACCACTAGGCCACACCACCCAAAGACAAAAATTCTATCAACAACCAAAGTTATGTGAACTTATGAACAGAACTGTGTATTATTTAGGTTTGTCAAATGATTGTAAATTTGTCATTTACTTGTTGGGTTGGGGTTAGATTTCTACTTTCACAACAAAATGCCAATCCTCACTGCAATACTGCATTTCCGTAATTCATTTAGTAGTATATAGAATCTTTAAGTAGAATATCTTTATTCTAATTTGCCATAGTATTGTATTAAAGGGATAGTTCATCCAAAAATGAAAACAATCATCATTTACTTACCTTCAAGTTGTTTCAAACCTGTGTAAATTTCTTTCTTCTGCTGGATACAAATGATATTTTAAAAAATGTGTGTACCCAAACAGTTGATTACGATGGTGTTTTAGTGTCATGTTAAAAAAAATAAAAAAAATCCAAGATTACGAGATTAAAATCGTAATATTTTGAGAAAAAAGTCAAAATTACGATAATAAAGTCGTAGCAATACGAGAAAACAAGTCCAAATTGCAAGAACAAAGTTGAAATATTTTGAGAATAAAGTCAAAATTACTAGAATTAAGTTGTAGCAATTACAAGATTACGATATTTTGAAAGTATACTGTATATTGCGCATGCAAATGGTCCGGATTGGGAGCACCGGGAGAAATTCCAGTGGCCTGGCAACTGATTTGAATATATGTGGGATTATTAGCAGAAATCATACCATGTGTCATATACTCGCAGGGACAGTATGTTCGGAAATAATATGTCATGTCTTCAAATGCATTCATTATTTGTATTGCGCCAGCCACCCAATAATAGCAATAAGCTTTGCACTTTTGGTACTTTTAATATAAAACAAAGTCTCAGCTTTCAATTTCTGTCAGTTCTATAGCGAAATACAAACAATATGTGTTACAATAATGTGTTTTTCACACTCTTTAATATTATAAATTAAATCTTGTAATTGCTACGACTTAATTCTCGTAATTTTGACTTTACTCTCAAAATATTTGGACTTTACTCTCAAAATATTTGGACTTTACTCTCAAAATATTTGGACTGTATTCTCAAAATATTTTGACTCTATTCTCGTAATTTTGGCTTTATTCTCAAAATATTTTGACTTTATTCTCACATTGCTACAACTTTATTCTCGTAATTTTGACTTTTTCCTCAAAATATTACGACTTTAATCTCTTTAATTTAATGTGGCACTAAAACGCCGTTGTAGTTGATGGACCCCATTAACTTCCATTCCAGCTTGAGGGTGAATAAATGATGACAGAATTTTCATTTTTGGGTGAATTATCCCTTTAAATATATTTACCATCATTGTGTTAAAAGTTGATATTGTATAGACCTATGATATGTTCTGCAGTGTGGCTTAACAGAAACTGTATTTTGTTCCACCTCTGTCATACAGAGAAATTACAATAAACCAACTTGATTTGACAAGCTGGGTTTATGCCTGCACACACCACCAACGGCAGCACAACCTATTTTTCAACCCATTTTTAGGGAAAAAGGCACAGACAGTCACTTGTGGCAGTGCTGGACGTCAAATAGTTGGAAATCCTGTCAATAGCGGGTCTAGTGATACTCAGCTCTTACCAATGAAAAGTATGTGTCAGAGCTCTTGTTCACAGACTCCGGTTTGTTCTTGTGTGATGCTGTAGTCTGTCCTAACAGCTTTACATGATAGTTCCCTGTCTCCACAATGAAATATGGCAGTCATGTCTCAGAGACTCATTGTCACTGTTAAACCTTGAACTTTGATTTCATTACAGCCTGGGGACTCTTTGGACAGACACGGCCTTCTCTATCTGACATATTCATTTTGCCAGCATATTCATTCGTAAATGAATGCACCATGTTTTATGGTCTCAAAACAGTTTGTATTTCTGCATACCTGCATTCTGTTTATTGGATTTCATATGCTAAATAACTTTCAGTTGAAGATTTTCAACTAGATTTACATTTCCTAAAGGAAATAACAGTGCTGGCAAGGCAGGGAGAGAGTAGTGTGCAAGCTTTTAGGTTTTGTCATTGTTATGACACTCGCGTTTTTGTCCACTGTGTATGAGAATCTACATACGAGACACTACCTTTGCAGTGTAAGGCGGCTATATAGTTAAAAAAAAAGATGCTATAAAAACAGCAATCAAAATTCACTATGCAAATACATGCAAGACGACCAATGGGAATTCAATTGGCGTCAACGCTGTTGGTTACATAATGGACCCTTTTCACATTTTAAGGGTTTTCAGAAGTGTAAGTCATCATAGATGAGTAAACGTGGTGAATGGAAACTACAACAAATATCTCTTTTTTTGTGTTACCATTTGCTCCAATTGCAAAAAGAAAGAAAAAAAAAAAACACGATAGCATTTCTACAACTTTCCAAAAGAGTGAAAAATACTGAGATTGATTATGTTCAGAAGAGAGAAAGATGTCAAATTTGCTGTCACTCCCTCAGCCACTGTATTAGAAATACTCACACAACAAAGTATAGTGTTATAAATGTACATTATTAAAAAAAAGAATATATGTGACCCTGGACCACAAAACCAGTCATAAGGGTCAATTTTTCGAAATTGAGATTTATGCATAATCTGAAAGCTGATAAATAAGCTTTCCATTGATGTATGGTTTATTAGGATAGGACAATATTTGGCCGAGATACAACTATTTGAAAATCTGGAATCTGAGGGTGCAAAAAAAAAAATCTAAATATTGAGAAAATTGCCTTTAAAGTTGTCCAAATGTAGTTCTTAGCAATGCATATTACTAATCAAAAATTAAGTTTTAATATATTTACAGTAGGAAATTTACAAAATATCTTCATGGAACATGATCTTTAATTAATATCCTAATGATTTTTGGCATAAAAGAAAAATCAATAATTTTGACCCATACAATGTATTTTTGGCTATTGCTACAAATATACCCCAGCGACTTAAGACTGGTTTTGTGGTCCAGGGTCACATATAAAAAACTTTGCCAGATTTACGCGTCATCACAGCCTGTGAAAAGGGTTCATGAAAGACATTGTAAATAAAATGGCGCCGACGCTGATGGCTGCCTCCGTGGCGTGCTCCGCAGTTGTTTTTATGTTTTTGTTAGTTTGTCCTGTCTTTAGTTATATCCCTGCAATCAGTTTCATCAGAGACGAATTGCTGGACATTCGGAAGTACACACCACCCATGTTGAAAGTATGTATTCTAAAATGTCTTGAACAATGATTATTCTTAAGCCTTAATTTGGCTGTTATTGTTATTTTTTTATTTGTTTTGTGCTTTAAACATACTACTGTACATTTAAAAATGTATACTATATAAAGAACAGAATAATCAAAAATAGTAATTTAAAAATTTACAGTCGTGGTCAAAAGTTTACATACAATTTGCAGTATCTGCAAAAGGTTAATTACTTTACCAAAATAAGCGGGATCATAAAAAATGCATGTTATTTTTTATTTAGTACTGACCTGAATAAGATATTTCACATAAAAGGCGTTTACATATAGTCCACAAGAGAAAATAATAGTTGAATTTATAAAATTGACCCCATTCAAAAGTTTACAAACGCTTGATTCTTAATACTGTGTTGTTACCTGGATGATCCACAGCTGTTTTTTTTGTGTTTGTTTTGTATTGTGATAGTTGTTCATGAGTCCCTTGTTTGTCCTGAACAGTTAAACTGCCTGCTGTTCTTCAGAAAAATGCTTCAGGTTATCCCACAAATTATTTGGTTTTCCTGCATCTTTTGTGTATTTGAGCCCTTTCCGACAATGATTGTGTGAATTTGAGATCCATCTTTTCACACTTACAAAAGGTTCAAACGGTCACTGATGCTCCAGAAGGAAACACAATGTATTAAGAGTCGGGAAGGGGGGAGGGGGGGTGATCAGGGTAAATTGAACTTATTTTGTCTTCTAGTAAACATGTAAGTATCTTCTGTAGCTTCTAAAGGGCAGTACTAAATAAGAAATAGGATAAATGTACACAAAATAAGAAAAATGTACACATCTTCATTCTGTTCAAACGTTTACACTCCTGGCTCTTAATGCATAGTTTTTTTCTTTCTTGAGAATCAGTGACCATTTGATCCGTTTGTAATAGTTGCGTATGAGTCCCTCTCAGTTGTCCTCAGTGTGAAAAGATGGATCTCAAAATCATACAGTCATTATTGGAAAGGGTTCAAATATGCAGAAGATACTGGAAAACCAAAGAACAGCGGGCAGCTTAACTGTTCAGGACAAACAAGTATTAAGGTAACAACACAGTATTAAGAATCAAGCGCATGTAAACTTTTGAACAGGGTCATTTTTATAAATTCAACTATTATTTTCTCTTGTGGACTATATGTAAACGTCTTTTATGTGAAATATCTTATTCAGGTCAGTACTAAATAAAAAAATAACATGCATTTTGTATGATCCCTCTTATTTTGGTAAAATAATTAACATTTTTAACATACACTGCAAAGTGTATGTAAACTTTTGACCACAACTGGACACACCTACACACACTGTAAAATCCAATAGTTTACCTTACTTAGATTTAATTAGTAATCTTTACTTAGTTGTTGTACTTACTAGGTTTTATTAAGTTACAGCTACTTTCAAGGCAAATAAAACAATTTACTTACTGTTTTGAGTGGTGCTTACTTAAAATATTCAAGTAGCCACAAAGGAACCAATGACATTAATAAAGCAGTGGCTTTTTTTAAGTAAGCCCAACTAATTAGATTTTACAGTGCAGACACATATATTCAGTACACACACACACACACACACACACACACACTATATACAACAATAATAACTCATGCTCTAATAACTTACAAGATGCTCTGACAACCCGAGAAGCTCAAAAAGAACATGCTTACATTAATGTTGATCTCACATCTGTGACCGGTCCATCCAACCTCACACTGACAGCTGTATGCATCAGTTTCATCCAGGCAACTGCAATGACAAAAGAGATTGCTTATGTGCCCTGACATGTGCAAATTCTGCATTCATTATTTATGAAGTCTTTTAAAAGACTCACAGGTACCGTCTCTTTCAGAATGGATGTGATGGCCATTTACAAAGCTCTCAATCACAGAGCTTGAAATACACATCGTTACAGCTCAGCAAGGTTAATGTACCTCCCATGAACACAGGGGTTGGATGAGCACTCATCAATGTTTCTCTCACAGTGATAGCCCATGAAACCTCTGGAGCACACACACTGGTAACCATCAAGACCGTCGATGCACCTCCCGTTGTTTCGGCATGGATTAGATTTGCACTCATCAACGTTCAGCTCGCACCATTTACCTTTGGGGAGAACAAAATCAATGCCATATAAATACATTACATTGAGTATTTAGAAATTCTTGGAAATCAAGGTGATGGATTTATTAAACGCCATGTCTGATATCAAGGTGAAAAAATGCATAATGGTACTCGCATTCAAGGACCTTGGCATTGGTAGCATTGTGTTCCACTAGTCTAACTACAGAAAACATAAATGTGGATAAGCATAAAAAAAAAGTGTATAAACAATTTATTTTTGTATTCTAGCTAAATAAAAACATATTTGATCGTCTACTTATGTTTCAAACTGTTTCAAACAATGTATGAGCTATTTTCCATGTCTTCTGAAGTCATAGTTTCGTGCGAAAATGACCAAATTTAAAATTCATTTTATATTTATTGTCATTTTTTTCTCTAATTTTGATTCGTCTCAAATAGTACTACAAATGGAAGTGTTCAATGGGAGTGTTTTAGCACCAATAGTGATCATTTCAGGCATTTATACTTCAATTTGCAGGATATTTCTGATTTGTGTATTTCTGTGTAGTTACGCTTTTGTATGTAACTGGGTAACAGAGTGCATTATTCTCTAGCCTGGATTTATGACCAAGTTGAATGACGTAAAATCCACTACAAAAAGGTTCAGTAACAAACACCCTAATAGGTCATAATTTACCTGGAAAAAAAGCTGTAAATTCAATAAGCTAAAAAAGCCAGTAAAATCTAGAGGCAAGTAAGACTCCGTAGACACCCAGGGACAGGTTGACAAATGACGGAGATAAAAACGAGAGCCAAAGAGCTGCGATACTAAAGAGCAGATAGCCATTATTCTTCCTCCCTGTAACTACACAAACAAATGGAACCATTTACAAAAGCCCAGAGACATCTAAATAAAGAGCAAAAGCGATCTTTTAAACATTATGAATCATATGCTGATATTACAGGAATGCAAACTTAATTCACGCTTGACTACACAAATAATTCAGTCACTTCGGGCGAAAGCGACGCCATCAGGTCATGCACTGACAATAAATTAAAACTTTATTTCAATTACTCACTGCTCAATACACAGCCAGCGAGAATCTACCCATGGTGTATCTCACTGAAGAAGTTTTCAACCTTTCTTACTTAGCGCTGTTCTTCACGCTGAAGTGTTTTGGTGTGTCTTGAAGGCAAGGTGGATAAATAAAAGGAACTGAAACAGAACAATGAGGCAGATCATTAACATCTTCTAATTAAAGTGTTTTTCCCAATTGCTCATTCACGGACTGTTGTTAATTCCCTTCATATTGACCTCCTGGTTAAGCTGTAATGAAATTATTTCCATGTGGATAGTCATCCGCAAACACAACAAAGTGTCAGTGATATTCTGTCATGACATGCTGTTTGTAGTCAGCCATCAATCAAATACTTCGTATCTCGCTGCTCGTACGACACTATCGGGACTGTAGATTGTAAGGAAGTGCACACCAGCCTCGCTTCATAGACAATACATTTACACTGTCAGCGCTCCTAATGAGATTATACAAAACCCACTTAATCGGTATTTCCTTGTCTGATTTGACAAATAATGCGCCATCCTATCAGACTTTGTAGAATATGAGAAGCCAAGCAGGAGAGAGATTATAAAGCTGTTGGGTTAATCCTAATGTTGGCTTTCTTAAGGGTGCTCACTCTACTCATCTGAGAGGAGAGAGAAAAAAAACATATAATCTTCTCTTCCACTCTTCAATTACTCTTCTCTGCAGGAACTTCTCAAACCCACAGCGAGTTATCAGATTTTCTATCCAAGAGACCAAAAAAGGGAAGAACTAGAGCAACGTAAAGAAAGCCAAAGAAGAATAAAATAGTCTGAAAAAGAGAAATAAAGACTACACACAAAATAAAACAGGAGAAAAAGAATTTGAAATCTCTAGCAAATGTGTTTTGCAGCTTCAGAGATCAATAATAGGCTGAACAATTATCAAAAACCATGACTGCTTAATATTTCTCTTGATATTTTAAATTTTTAAAATTTCAATCAACAGTATTTCAATTAAAATACTTGTTTTACCATTAAAAAAATACATATTTCATTTAATGTGTCTTAAAATATAAATCATAAAATGTTCCAAACATTAAAAAATGAAACAAACCATTGAACAACTTTTTACATATGTATTTATTACATTCAAAAAAACATCTGTCATTAATGATAACATTAAAACAAACAATAACACAATTAAATAACAATTTTAGATGTTATTTACATTTTTTTTATTGAAAGATATTTTGACAGATTTATTGACGTTTTCAATGAAAAATTTATTAATATGGCAATCACAGTCCTCTATATGGGGCAACTGCACGTCATCATTTTTATATACGCTATACATCTAAAATGCAATACATCTTAGCAGCATGAAAAACAAAAGTAAGTGTAAATCTGTTCATTATTACAGGATGCTGTTACTAATAGACCAAAGTAGGCTAACTGAAAGGTCTCTGATCCACAATTTCATTTAAGCATATTTGGTGGGCACAGATTTAAATGAAATGCTATAATGAACATTTTTCATGATTCATCAATATGAAATCTTGATTATTTATTTGATTAAAGTGGTACGAACGAACAGTTATCATGTAGGTTATAGCTTTAGATGCTACATCATCAAATAATATAACAGACAAGACATTGTATCAACTTTCTTTTCATGCAAAGCCGCCGATCTCAATGAAGGAGATGCTTACTAGATCCAAGCAAAATCACAAATAACGTAATTTCACCGAACGAGGCACATAACGTGGTGTGTGCCTGAGCATCACACCATTTCAATTTAAAAATCGTTTTGCTACAGATCAGCCACAGAGACACGTCGGATGGCAGGCTGCTGCATATTGCCTTTTGTATCTTTGATTCCGCCTTCTCGAGAAGTTGCGATGCCGTTACATGTCTTATTAGGGCAAATATTTCCTCTGAGCCCCAGTTGGTTGAACCAATCCAGAATATATCCTCCAGCCTGAGCTCTCAGGGGACATGTCCGATTCCTCAGATGAGCTCAGAGCTGAGAGGAAAGTAATGACTGGTGCAAGGCAGAGTGGGGCCTCATAATAAAAGAGGGTTCTGTGGGAATTAGGCCCTGTGTGTCAGGCTGAGCTCTCCCAGGAGTTTCCATGCCTCTGAGATTTCTTTCTTTCCCCTCAGCAGGATGAGGATAAATTGATGATACAGTACAAAAGACAAATGAAATTAATCTTCAAGCTGGCTGATGGCGATTGAGATTACACTTATTTTTAAAACAGCATTGATAAGTGGGCTAGCAGAGTAATGGCCTTAGTATTCATAGGTGATTGTACATAAACTGAGGTTCTAGCACACATGCGTTTAGATCAGGGGTGTCAAACTCATTTTAGGGTGAGGGCCGGATGAGAAGAAATGTCGCCATTAACGGGCCGAATCAACTTTTTTTTTTTTAATCACAGTGCACCAAATTACAAATTAATTTGCAAAAAAAAAACCCTTCCAGATCAATTTTTCTTTTTTTGGACATTTTTAAAATCGCCAGTGCTTGCCACACAACTTCAGTTAGCGAAGTGTTCGAAATTTGAATTAGGCGCCGCTTTAGAATGCGCATGCGTGTTCGAGGTTCCGGCAGAAACGCAATAGAAGCGCAATTAAATGATCAACGATAAAATAAAATAAAAAAAAAGAATAAAACCAAACACAATATTGTTTAGTAATAATAATAAAAATATTTATTTTATATTATTTTTCAAATCATCCCGTGGGCCGTATTGGACGTCTCAGTGGGCCGTATTCGGCCCGCGGGCCGTATGTTTGACACCCCTGGTTTAGATGCAATAGATACTGACATGTACAATGTCAATGTATTGACGTATCTAAAGTGTAAAGTATTGTATGTACAGTATGTACAAAGGTGCAAATGTTTAATCTTTCCCAGTAGGTTGATTCTATTTTATTTATAAAAAAGAAAACAATTAAAAGAGTAATGTAATACTTGTTGAGCTTTTATAATACCATTCAAACGTTTAAGGTCTAAATTATTATTTTTTTCCATCGAGGCTGCATTTATTTGATTAAAAATACAGTAAAAACAGGAATATTTTGAAATATTATTACAAATTTAAATAAATTTTCTATTTTAATGTATTTTAAGATATGATTTATTCCTGTAATGGTAAAGCTGAATTTTCAGCATCATTATTTCAGTCTAATGTCAGACTGTTACGTGTTTTGTGTGGGTTTTGCTCCCCATGTGTTTCCAAGCCCTTATTTGGTTTTCCTGTTCCTGCTCCCTGATTGTTTCCCATTTGTTTCCAGCGGCGTTTTCCCTCATGTTATTATGTTTCATTAGTTCCAGGTGTTTCTCGTCATATCTTGTGCATTTAAAGTGTTCCCGGTTCTTAGTTCTTTGTCTGTTATTGTATGTGTCAACCTTCTCAGCTACGTGTGTTTTCCTGGTTCCCTTGAAGTCATTAAAATCTCCTTATTGATGTACTCTTCGTCTCCTCATTCCGCGCTCCAACACAGTAGCAACGTGACAGAATACCAGACCCAAAACAGTAAGCGGCGCCCCTTCTCCCCGTGTTTGTTTTTTGTTTTGAAAGTCTTTTGTTTTCCTGTGTGTTTCTCCCCGCGGCATAGAAGTAGCCGCTCGTTTTATCGTCCTAGCTCACAGATATCTCCCCTTCGTGGAGTATGTGTGGGAGTTCAGCAAGATCGCCGCAAAAACAGCGCTGGACGACGCCACGCTCATCTCTGCGGCATTCTCAAGCCCGCCGGCTGCTCCGAAGTCAAGGCCGCCGGCCGTTCCTCCATCAAGCCCGCCGGCCGCAGCTTTCTCCAGCCTGCCGGCTGTTCCGAAGTCAAGCCCGCTGGCCGTGGCATTCTCAAGCCCGCTGGCCGCTCCAGTGTCAAGTCTGCCGACCACGCCTTTCACCCCGAACCTAAAGGGGAATCTAAGGAGGAGAAGGCGGTTGGGTCTAGTCCCTAGGCTCACTCCAGTGTCGGCTCCAGCCCCAGAGCTCGAGTTTAGCCCAGAGAGGGCTCCAGTCCCCGAGTTTAGCCCAGTGAGGGTTACTGTCCCTGAGTTTAGCCCAGAGAAGATTCCAGTCCCCGAGTTTAGCCCAGAGAGGATTCCAGTCCCCGAGTTTAGCCCAGAGAGGGTCCCAATCCCCGAGTCTAGCCCAGTGAGGGCTCCTGTCCCCGAGTCAAGCCCAGAGAGGGCTCCATTTCCCGAGTTTAGTCCAGAGAGGGCTCCAGTCCTCGAGTTTAGCCCAGTGAGGGTTACTGTCCCCGAGTTTAGCCCAGAAAAGATTCCAGTCCCCGAGTTTAGCCCAGAGAGGACTCCGGTTCCCGAGTTTAGCCCAGAGAGGACTCCAGTCCCCGAGTTTAGCCCAGAGAGGGTCCCAATCCCCGAGTCTAGCCCAGTGAGGGCTCCTGTCCCCGAGTCAAGCCCAGAGAGGGCTCCATTTCCCGAGTTTAGTCCAGAGAGGGCTCCAGTCCCCGAATTTAGCCCAGTGAGGGCTCCTGTCCCCGAGTTTAGCCCACAGAGGGCTCCTGTTCCCGAGTCTAGCCCAGTGAGGGCTCCTGTCCCAGAGTCTAGCCCAGTGAGGGAGGGCTCCAGTTCCCACGTCCAGCCCAAGGAGTGCTCCAGTCCCCAAGTCAAGCCCAGGGAGGGCCTCAGTTCCAGAGTTAGACCTACGGAGGCCTTCTAAAGACGATATTCTCCCCAAGGATTTTTTTGGGGGGGTGGTAGTAGGAGTCGGTCCATGGAGGCCGGGCCGAGTGCCGAGGCCAGGCCCCCTGAGTTCCCTGCCTAGTCTGCCTGCTCCGCAATGGCTTCCTAGCCTGCCTGCTCCACCATGGCACCCCGAACTGCCTGCTCCGGCATGGCTCCCAGAGCTCCCTGCTTCGCCATGGCCCCTGAGCTCCCTGTGCCGCCATGGCATTCAGCACTGCCTGATCCACCCTGGAGATATTCCCCGTGTTTCAGTCCTGCACCAGCCTCCAGGGCACCCACCCCCCCTCCCTGGTGGAATTGTTACGGCACGGGACGCGCCTTCCGGTTTTTTGAGACCCCCCAAAATTTCACAAATCCCGTTTTCAGGGGAGCCCATGTCTTATTAAGGGGAGCCGAGCTCCCGTAGTTCGCACCCTGGGTTTGTTTCTGAGTACTAAACTTACTCACCTGTCAAGTTCAGTTCTGTCCAGTTTTCAGAAGATTCGTAAAGATTGTATGTGTATAAAGTGTTTACATTTTAGATGCGTTCAATATGTTCAGTGCCTATCCAAACATACAAAAATTAATAAATGTCCACGAATAAGAATGAGATCACCCCAGGGAAAGAGGAAAATAGCGAAAGAAAAAAAGGAGATGAGGAAGTACTTGATTAAAATGCAGAGGATGAGGAGGAGGTGTTTAGTTAACTCAAGGTGAATCTGTGTGTGTGTGTGTGTGTGTGTGTGTGTAGATATTGGTGGGAGTGTGGGATCTAATTAAAGTGGTAAATGTGCTGATGAGCTATTTGTGTGTTCTTTCCACTGAGAATCTGTCAGGCTGGGGGAACGCAGCCCGTGTAGACACGATAAGCCCTGGTTTCTCTCATTGATTTTGTGTCTGGGGCTCTGGCCGAGGGGGACGTACCTGAGAAGCCACTATGGCAGACACATATGAATCCCCCAGGTTTGTTGATGCACACAGAGTCATGGAGGCAGGGGGAAGCTTCACATTCGTTTATGTCCAGGTTGCAAAGCTTTCCAAAATATCCGGGGACACAGTTACACTGGAAACTGGAAATGCACAAAAATAACATTATTAGCCAAATCTTCCTTTTAAAATCCCTGGCTGTGACACAGATGTCTGCCAAACAAAATGGTGTCATATCTGCATGGAGTGTTTTTAGGAAAACTGACAGACAGGAAAAGGTCTGATTGACAGCAAAAGATCTAAAGTGTGTCTGTTAATCATGACTTTGGCTGCTGCTATCATCGGACAAAATGACCGACAAGCTGACTCTGTTTCAAACATGCTGTCACCTGTCTAATCGGTGAGGACTTGGCCAGTAAGTGGTTTTGTGATGGAAGAGATCTCTTGTAGCATATATTCACAATTTAATAGGGCATTTTGTTTCCAGCTGTGATTTTTTTGCTGGCTTGTTTTGTTCACTTTAGTGTTCTTTTTTATATTTTCTCTTAATTCTGTACAGTATGTTCTGCTGGGCTTAGTACATTATGTCTTTAAATATATTTTTCCTTGATCTTTTGAAATAAAAGTGTTTAATGCATTATTAAACAATATGATATAACTTTAAGATCTCCATTTACTGAACCCTGCTGGCACTTTTCTAGCAACAATGGCTGGAATTTACTTCTGTAAATAATGACATATAAATTATATATAAACACCACCACATTTTTTAACGATTCATTAACATTTACATTTTTTCATTTTGCGGACGATTTATCCAAATCGAATTGAGGAATACAACAAGCGATTCATCACAGGAAGTGCTCGTAATACAAAGTTTCAGACATTGTTCAGATTAGTACAAGTACTAGACAGGGGGGATTAAGGAAAGAGAAAGCAAAGTTTTTTTTTTTAAGATGCAGTCAAATGTTGACGAAAGAGATGAGTTTTCAGTTGTCGTCATTTAGCATTCTGGATGGGGGTGGGAAGATCATTCCACCAGCCATGAACGGTGAATGAAAATATTCTGGAAAGTGATTTTGTGTCTCTCTGTGATGGTATCACGAGGCATCGCTCACTTGTAGATCTCAAGCTTCTGGGGATGCAGATTCGTAAGAGTGAGTAGAAGAAGGAGGGTGCTGAGCCTGTGACTGTTCTATGTGCAAGCATCAATGTCTTGAACTTGATGCGAGCCGAAACCAATAGCCAGTACAGGGAGATAAAGAGATGTGTGATGTGGGCCCTTTTGGGCTCGTTGAAGATCAGTCGAGCTGCTGCATTCTGAATCAAAATAATGATTCAAAATAATGTCACAAAAAAATCTGAGCCTTTGAGTGTTCTTTCAAAAGATAGGACAGCATCACCTATATCAGATCTTACAGCACACGGCATCCCAAGTATAGAAAAACACTGTTAACGGCTATTTACATGAAACACGTTCTGTGCTGGGTCTATATCAGGGATTCCCAAACTTTTATGCAGGTACAAAAAAAAAAAAAAAACTTTTTAGTAAGTGTTTGAGTTTGGTTTTATTTAAACAAATATTTTTTTTTCATTTTTTTATAATTATTTACTTAATTACTTAATTATTTGCTTAAAGGGTTTGCGAAACCCTGGTTTATATAAACATGAGCTAGATGGATATCTTTGGCCATTATAGCATAATTGTTTTCATTCTATGCAATGATATCAACGTTTTTCTAGACACCATGGCAGGTTAAATACAGGTCAGGTTATGATACAGAGCCAGAAAGAATGTGAAAAATGGTCATGAAAAACAATTAGCATTTTTTGGTGAAATAAAACAGAGGGGAAAAAAAGACACAAAAATGAATTTCAATATCCAATTAAAAATATTGCTGTAGAGCAATATAACTGTATTTCACATGTTTAAGAACCCTCGGGTACAAATTGGGCATAAGTAAGACATTTACTTCAATATAGTAATGTATATGTTGCTTGCAAAAAATACTCTGTAAGAATACATGATTATTTTAAACATTTATCAATGAAAAAACAATTTTTTTTTGCAACCAGATTGTGTAGTTACGACATCTACCAGCAGGGGCATTCTGGACCATACAAACTAGCCAAACCTTGACCTCCTTGGCCCTGAACAACATCCTGCATGCTGTAGCCTACAAAGGATCTCAAAGCAAACACCTGTAAACTACTATTGTCAGTAAACTACATACAGACACACCGGCTTCTGACAGGACAAGGTAAAAGAGCTCCGCTGAGAACGATCTCCTCTAAAGCAAGCCCTGCCACGTCAAAAGTGCACTTGAGTGGAAGAGAGTAAGTTGTGAGCAAACGGAAACACCTGAAGAGATATCCCTCAGATGGAAGCAATTCCACAGGAACGCTGGGAGCAGATGATCACAGGGGAGTCCGTACATGATAGGAGACAAACCATTTAGCACTCAAATTGGCCTCGGGACTCCTCTGCCCATATGTCGGACTGAACCAAGAGCGGCCCTGGGGCGCCCATTAAAGCACAACGAGGAGAAGATCTAGTAGAGGAAAGCCAATATAGAGGCGTGATGCGAACCTGCTGAACTATTCTCACTTGTGTTTAGACCAGCAGCTTATATATGTCAAGGATGAAAAAGGACCTTCATTATAAGCCGAAGCACTTTAGACAATATTACCAGCATCTCTCAAACGTGTCTCATTTCTAGACCGTCTAGTAAAAACAAACAGTTCAGACAGGATACTTGGGCTCCTATATCATAATCAATTTAAGGGGGTTGTGGTACAGAGTGGAAAAAGTGCAATTCGGTGTTGTCATGGTACTTACCCGTTCACAAGGTCTTGGCAGACGCCTCCGTTCTGGCAGGGGTTGGATGCACACTCATTGATGTCTTCCTCACAGTGTTGGCCCGAGAAACCTGGCTTGCAGAAACAGCTTCACAGAGATGACGAAAGGAGGATCGGTTTACAGTTGTGAGAGAAAAAAAAAATCACTTGCTTATCTGGAGTTACGTGACCAAAATGTGATTTTATATTGCAAGACCAACAAAACATGACGATAATAAATTATTTAAATGGTTGTTAATATAATAATAATAAAAACTTAAAATTCAACCATATATTCAGTAGTGTTGTTTTTGGCGGCCTGTTTTAATTTTAGTTTTAGTCTAGTCTTTGTGTGAAGCTGTCATTTTAGTTTTTATTAGTTTTAGTCACGTTCATACTCTTTTTAGTCTAGTCAAGTTTCAGTCAACTAAAAGTCTGAGCATTTTAGTCTTATTTTAGTCAGAATTATCC